AACCCAAGGCCTTTCCACCAAGATTTGCCAAACTGCTCCATGTAGAATTAACAGCACTTGGGTATCAAGTTTATAACTTGAGTCCTGTAAAGCATCAAGTTGAGTCATATCTGAGGCCATTCAAGCTTCAGCTATAGATGGAGGAGCACTGTGCTGCATGTGGGGAACAGACGGGGTGGTACTGGTCAGTAAGCCCAGGATGGGCTCTTCAGACCCATTCCCAAACATCTGCCCTCTTATTCTTCCATACCTATGATGAATGGTGCAGAGTCTGCAGTCTCTGAAATGCAGAGACCATGTCAGAACAGTCTATGAGTTCAGATTTCTACCAACATTCTGACTCCAACCACTAAGGTAATTTCTGAGAAATTCTAACTTCTTATTTTTCTTTCATTCTCTTGCTGATTTTTTTCTCATAGTAACCTTAGAGATTGGTTGTTCAGGTACACCCTTAGTATTATCACTTTTGAAAATTCTCTTTCATCATCTACCATATGATCAGGTTGAGAATTTCACAACTCTTTCAACTCTGCTTCCTTTTTAATAAAAAATTCTGTCTTCAAGTTATCCTTTGGCTCTCTCATTTCACTGTGAGCATTTAGAAGTAGTCGCATAGAAACCTGGATGCTTTGTTGCTTAGAAATTTCTTCTGCTAGATACCTTCGTTTATATAAGTTTATCTCTCTTACGTTCCACATTCTATAGTCCCAGGGTCTTAACACAGTGTAGCCAGAGTCTTTGCAGCCAGTCTTTATTCATTTCCAATACCCTCTTTCCAGTTCCATTTTGCCATAATGGCCTTTATGGGTCCATATTCTGGCTCCAACCACTTAGGTAATATCTGAGAAATTCCAGACTTTCACTCTTTCTAAGCCTTTACCAGAATTGCCCTTGCGACTCTGCTCAGAGCAGCAAAGCTTTTTCTAGCTTTCAACTCAAAAATTTTCTAACCTTTACCACTACTGAGTTCCAAAGTCACTCTGATATTTTCAGGTATTTGTGAAACAACTCCACTGTTGGTACCGTTTTTAAAAACATGCCCAGTTTTCTGTTTCTGTAATAAAATAGCTGATCTAGGTAAATTGTAAAGAGCAGAAGTTTATTTGACTCATTATCCTGGAGGCTGGATGGTACAGAATCTTCTCAGCATCTTGTAAGGGCTTCTTTACATCATCACAACATGACTGAAAGCTCCTTTTCCTCTTCCTTCCCTTTCCCTTCCTACCCTGTCACAGCCCTCTGAGACCAGGGACAAGACAGTAATGGACACCAGACTATGGAATTGAGGTTTGGGCACCAGGGATTCAAGCCTTCCTCCAGCTTCAGGTCCTTGGGTCCATTTTACAAGATATTTATTGAGTGGAGTACAGGAAGGTATGTGAGGTCACAATATCCTTGAAGTCACAAGTACCAATCATGTGGTATAATCTTACTCAAGAAGCAGGTGTAAGTAGTGCATGACTTACAGTTAGCATTGATTTTTGTCTGTCCTCAAGTTCCCAGAAAATTTGGTGTGGAATTAACCTACACCCAGGATAGAAATCTGAATTCCCATCAAGCGAGGACTGACTGAACTCTCCAGGAAACTCAGTGTTCTGAGGGTTCATGTTGGGAGGAGGCATTCCACCCTCCCAATCCTTTCAGGTCTCACAGCTCAGCTTTTGGGAACTCACACTTCCTTGCTTCCTTACTTCTTTCCTTTCTTTTCTGATGATACCAGGGTTTGAAGTCAGGGCTTCATACTTGCTTGGTTTGCTTAAACAGTTGGTGCTCTTACCACTTGAGCCATATCTACAGCTCTACTTTTTCCTAGTTAATTGGTTGGATTCTCACAGACTTTTCTACTTAGGCTAGCTTTAAATCATAGTTGTCTAGGTCTCAGTTTCCTGAATAGTGAGAAGTACATGTATGAGCCATCAGCATCTGGCTTTAACCTCTATTTTCTTGACACTAAACTAAGGATACAGATAATTTACCTCCTTGAGTTAGGATGATCACATATACATAAAGATAGTCTGCAATATATAAAGTGCCCTATAAATGTCAGCAAACACATATTTGCTATGACTAGAGAGCCTTTCTCTCCCCAGGAGTCTTAATGCAAGACTTTCCTCAGCCTTCCCCTTTCCTTATAACTGTGGACATACAAGAAGCAACAGTCTTCACTGATGACTGTAGGAAATTCATCTCTTATACAAAGCCTTAAAACTTTTGAGTGAAACCAGGTTCGTATGGCCCATACCTGTAAACTTAGCTACTCAGGAGGCTGAGATCCACAGAATCATGGTTTGAGGATAGCCCAATCAGTCCTTGAGACTCCATCTCCAAAATAACCAGCAGAAAGGCAGTCTGGAAGCACTGATCAAGCATAGGAGACAAGCTAAGTAAGCAGACTGAGCAAGTGCTAAGCACTAAGTGCAAATCCCAAATCCAGCAAAATCAAAAACAACTTTAAAATATAGAGAGAGATGGTGGTTAAGTCATTAGGTAGTTAGTAACCAAAGGCATAGTTTCATATGTCTGAACAGATATTTAAAGGCTACGCTAAAATTCATTATGATCAACTGACTAATAAAAATCCTTTTCTAACACTTGCCTTAAAGTGGTGAACATTTGCATTTTACTTCCTTTTTTAAGCCACGATTGAACAGGAATCCAGAAATAAAGGAGTCAAGGCTGATTTTTTCCCCTCCCCCTAAAAAAAAAAAGTCTCTGAAGGTATTTTGAACTTTTGTGGAGAACCTGAAACCCTATTTGAGACATCTCTCTGATGCTGGGGAGGAACACTGCTGTGTTCTAAGAAATGGGGCCTTCTACACATTAGAATCTACATGTAGGCCCAAGTCATTCTTTCTCTCTACCAGATGTTCCTTAATAGGGCAGCCAGGGACCATCCGGCTTCCTGGTGAAGCTATAATTAGAACCATCAGAGCTGTCCCTTCCTTATAAACACAGAGAGGGGAACACTTCATCACCTGTCATTGCAAATAAAAATTCTTGTCCTGCCATTCTATTAGTTTTCCGATTTTATTTCTTCTCTACTTTACACTGATAGGAGTTCATATGCAAGAACATACCCATTTCTGCCTTCTGAGTTGCCTTTATTATCATTCACCTTCTAAGCTGATCCTAAAACTCCCCCCCCATCTTAAAAAAGATAGAGTCATCTGTCCCTGTGATTATCCATGTGTTTAATTACTCCATCTTAAAATATTGCCTAGGAGTTTGAACTTCCATATAATTCCTGTGAAAAGTAAGGAATCTCTGGGGAGACTGGAGCATCAGATCAGAAGTCAGACCACGGTTTAGTTTGCTATTTTGCCTCTGCTTATTACGATTTTTATTGTGACCATGAAATAATGAATATGATTTCTAAATATAAACTGATTCTAACAAGGAGACCCCACGATTGGGCTGATGTTTCGTAGGCCTTTCTTGTCTTTGCCAGTCAACTGGCAAAGCACTCGAATGCTGCAGGGGAGCATTGTCCAACAGAAACACAATGCAAGCCCCATCTGTAATTAGAAACGATTAGTAGCTTCATTCAAAAAAAAAAAAAAAGCTAAAAGTAGTAGGTGATGTCAATTACAAATTCAGTTCCAAATATTACTCAGGAGCTCTTTCCCATGTTTTTCTTTTTTTTTTTCAAATTAAGTCTTCTAAACGTGGTGTCGCACACAGTCTTCCGACAAGCCACATTTGAAGAGCTCACGGGGCCACGCGCGCGCGTGTGTGTGTGTGTGTGGTGGGCAATGCGACAGCACCATCTTGGCCAAGTCACCCCGCACATCCCCGGCCTCACTCGCTGCACGCAAGCCCGGGGGGGGGGGCTCACAGACGGTGCCAGGGGGCGAGACACGCAGCCTAAGCAGCTAAGCGTCTGGCACCATCCCACGCGTGGCCCTCGCGGCCACGCTCGAGCCTGTCGCCAGCGCGTACCAAATCCAAGGTGATGAACGGAGCTTCCTGCGGAGAGCCCCGCTGGGAGGCTCCGTGGCCGGCATGGAAGATGGTCCACGTGTGGGAAGCGCACGGCCACCACCGTCCGCGGCAGGTCGGGGATCCGCCGCATCCCGGGCATCGAGGTCCACGGCTCCGATGGATGGCCCGAGCCACGACCCCCGCTATTCGTTCCTCGTTACCCCCCCCCC